TTTGGACATAGCGAAGGCCTTCGATCGGGTCTGGTACAAAGCGCTTCTATCGAAGCTCCCTTCCTATGGGCTTCCCGAGAAATTGTGCAATTGGATCACCAGTTTTCTTGTTAACCGGAGCATCAAGGTCGTAGTAGACAGTGCATGCTCTCATTACAAGCCTACTAACGCTGGTGTTCCACAAGGCTACGTGCTATCACCAACGCTGTTTCTTTTGCATATCAATGATATGTTGCAAGCTGGTAACATTCATTGCTATGCAGACGACAGCACTGGTGATGCCTTATAGACCGGCCGTGCCAATATTTCTCGGGAAAACGTCGCCGAATACCGGGGCGAACTTTTGTCTGAAGTCGAGTCTTTGCTGAACAAGGTCTCGGATTGGGGGCGACTAAATCTAATCCAGTTCAATCCCCAGAAGACACAAGTTTGCGCGTATACCGCTAAAAAGAACCCATTTGTCGTATCTCCTCAGTTTCAAGGCACTCCCCTTGCTGCCTCAGCTAGCATCGGAATCCTCGCCGTCGACATATCGAATAGTGTGCAGTTTCGTGGTCATTTGGAAGGGAAGGCCAAATTGGCCTCTAAAAAGCTCGACGTGCTCAGCAGAGCGGGACAGTATTTTATGCCGGCACATCGCTTGCAGCTTTACAAAGCGCAAGTTCGGCTTCACATGGAATACTGTTCTCATCTCTGGGCCAGGGCACCCCAGTGCCAACTCCTTCCACTTGACCGCATCCAGCGCAGAGCGGTTCGAATCGTCGAGGACCGAGTTCTTCCTGATCGACTCGATTCACTGGCGCTGCGTAGGGATGTTGCATCCCTTCGCATTTTCTATCGAATCTACCATGGGGAGTGCTCTGAGGAATTGTTCGCATTAATTCCAGCTGCCAAATTTCACGATCGCACATCGCGTCAAAATTCACGATTCCATCCTCACCATCTGGATGCTTGGCGGTCTATGACTGTGCGTTTTACTAGGAGTTTTCTTCTTTTACTAAACTAAAACTTTACTCGAGACTGTTTGATGTAACTCGAGGCTTTATCCATATAAGGATTGTAATAAGATCATGTAACTTGAAGATGGTCATTGGAAACCGCTGCTAATTGGAAAGCTGGTTTCTCGTAGGGTCTCATATAAATTTGATCAAGGTCTGACCAATAGTTTTTGAGTTATTCTTAATAATTTATATTGAAGTTGGTTGTACAAAATTTTAAATTTTAAGTTATGTATCTCATACGTGTTCCACTAAAAATGAAGTAGTCTTGTATAGTTCCAAATAGTTTTCCATGTTTCCACATTATTGGTATAGATTGGTTCAAGCTACTATCACATTTGTTTTGAATAGTAAGTAGGAAAAACCTGTTTTTGTACATCTATACCATTCACAACTCGCGCAATACGATCAGTCACAGGTCACAGGTTAAATAGATATTGTTGATCATTTGTTACGGAATTGTTCAAAAAATGATAGCAATCATCAATACTTTTACGCGATCCGATTCACGTTCACGATTGACAAACGTCTACTCGTATATCACTGCAGTATGTGTAACGGCTAAGCAATCCATTTTAAAAGTAGAAACGCTAAATAACCTAGAACAAAAAAAAACACACCAAACCGCACACTGTTTCGAGAAAGCCATTGCTTCGCTGCTTCACCCACTTCCCAAACACAAACTGTACTTGTGCGGTGTTTTCTTGCACTATAGATTAATCTTTTTTTTCAATGGGAAATTTCTACGCATCCGCCTAGCAGTGGCAAGAACGAGCTATGTCGGACTCGCACCGACTAAATCCCCATACTGTGCTACCTTCGCCTTATATAGGCAGGGCCACAAAAATCTGCGGAACGGACCGCCCGAGTCCGTTACGCGAAAGCCTAAACGTGAGGAAAAACGAGTACCTGTAAGCACCAGTCTTATCCATGACTTCATCGCCAACCACTTTAAAGCCGCGGAGAGTCAAGTGGGCGGCGCCTCGTAAGACCCTTCGTAAGATTGATATTACCGTCTCATCAGGTCCGCAATCTTCACTTAATTGTAAAATATATCCTTGATAGACTGAGGTCAAGAATAATTCAGAAATAAAAATTAAAATTGCTTAAATTGCTACGGATTTTATTGCTAGCATAATATACTGTCACACATTCATTTGATATTGTTTAACCAAATGTCTCAGAATCCTCTACCTTACATCACCCCGTGGGTGTCGTAAGAGACGATAGAAGAACATTTAATAGGAGATGGCCAATAGCATCTTTTTGACAACAACTCAAAAGAATACACTTGAGGGCAATAAAATCGCACCTTGTCTTTTTTTTGTTATGACTGTTTTTCATGAATGTGAATAAATATTGAAAAAAAAACATACACCAAATTTCACTTCAGTACCTGTCTAATGATATTAAATACAGTGTAAAAATAGCCATATGGAGTTTTAGGGCACATTACCCAACATACAGGTAAAATTACCCAATTTCACTTCGAAAGAATGAAAATCAAACTCAATATTCTTGATCAAATTGTTTATTAATAAGGTAATTAAAGCTAGGGGAAGGAATACTTCCCCTAGCTTTAATTACAGCTCTTAATCGGTTTTTCATGGACCGTATTAATTTTACCATAAAATCGTGGTATAGCGTTTTGTGGTAAACCTTTGTGGACGCGTTCCTTTCTTGGAGGCGTGTAGGAGCAGGGCTTCTTGCTCGAATTCTTCTTTTTAGCTTATCCTAGACATGCTCAATCGGATTTAAATCAGGACTACGAGCTGGCTACTCCATCGCGGTGATTCCAACGTCTTCCATGTAGTTGCAAACTGTTCTAGCGACGTGTGGTCTGGCGTTGTCGTGCATTAAGAGAAAATCTTTTCCTATAAGTTACGCATGCGGCTTCACATGTTCTTCGAGCACTTCTTCGACGTATCGTGCAGCCGTCAACCCTCTCGATCTTTGCCCGGTATTCGCCCCAGTGATGAATACAATGGCAGTTTTAGTGTTCAACATTATGACACCCCAAAACATACACCTCCAAAATCCACACGTTCGCTTATGCAGCATTGTTAAAATCGCTCTGATGACCTTCTGTAGACCCTAGAGCGTCCATCATGACCATGTAAAGTCATTCTGCACTCATCAAAAACAGACCGCCATTGGTCATACGTCCAATTTCAGTTTTCCCTGGCAAATTGTAGACGGGCTTGTCAGTGAGCTGTGGTCTATTTGATACCATTTGCTGGGCGATGTGAAGTCAGCCCTGCTTCACCCAGTCTTCTTCTAACTATCCACCGACTTATACTGACATTATACATATACATATTTAGTTCACGTAACGGCACTAATAATAATATGGTGAGACGAAGTATTGCAGACACTGGCCTGGGCATGACAACTGGCCTCAACATGACAACATCTTAACAAATCTTCGTACAGCATGTGTAGATAGACATTGCGAACTTCTCGAAGCTGTTGTCCCAGTTCAACCGTGTTCAGTGGTCGATTTCTCAAAAACCTTGTCACAAGAAAGCGGTCATCGCGTTCTGATGTCCTGCGTCGCCGGCCAGATCCTAGTCGCCAAATGTAGCCATCGGTCTCTTGGAACTTCTACTATACACAATGAACAGAGTAGCGACTGAAATTTAGCTGTCGAGCAACTTCACTTTGATTATGGCCTGCTTCGCTGTCAGTGTATTTATTTATTTTTCTATCTCCACACTAATTTTTAGTTCACTTACTGTTTCGTTTCTTTTCATTGATGGTGTGGTTAAATCTTCTTGGTCTTCAATTAAATTCAAATGTTTAGTTTATTTTATTAAGATTAGAGGATATACTTCATGTTGTTGAGCTGTTGAGCACTTTATCATGTATGTGTACATATAAGTGTGTATGGATGTATAGATATATATGGGTACATAATATGTAAGTGTATGTTTAAACAATGTATTATTATTTCCAAATAATAACTCTTATTATGCTGATTCTGTTCCCATACTGAATATTTTTCTTTGAGTTTTAGCTTTAGGTAATGTATGACCGTCCGTAAAGCCAATATTAGGCTCTATTTGAAAATCAGCGCTGCTGTCATTTAGTTCAGCAGCTGTTAGCTGAAATAGGGACCTAATTTGACTTTACACAAATCCTGTTTTTTTATATCTCGTGTTATTTTTTTTTGTGATGTCAAATAAAGTTTTCTTTCTTTCTTTCTTCGAGCAAGGCAGTAACTTGAGCGGCTGCAGGCGTGGTATCCATATTTTTCTAGTAAATCCATATGCTTCCAGTAGAGATGTTATCACGTTGACCTTCGATATGCAACTGATTAATTTAGTGTCTTTGTAAAGCTAAGCTTTTATTATTAGGCAAAATTAAAGCATACATGCTTTAATTTTGCCTAATGATTTGTACTCAATATTTTTAGATTTAAGAAAAAAATCAGTAATGAACCAAATTACAAGGGTTGTACGATTTTAATGCTCTCAAGTGTAAATAAACTGCAGTTGTCAAACCCCCTCGCAAGCGTGACAACTATTACAAAAATAAGGCAATCTCAGGGCAGGAGTAGACTTTTGGTTATGATGATGATAATGATTGAGAAAGACTAGTAGATGTTGACTTTTATAGGACGCGACCAAACCGAGTTCAGTATAACTGTTTTTTTATTTTATACAGCGTGTTAAAACTCTTTTTACGGGGTATTTGAATACATAGTTTTCGAATGAAAACAATTTCATAATAAAATAATTTGAATGGTTTTCTGTTTTATATTCTGTATTCTTATTGGAATACCTAAATAGCCTTTTAAATGGGACAGGAGTTTTTTACCTGCTGCATATATGTATGTACTTCATATGTCGTGTTTAGTTCTGTGTATCTTTTGTAATCATTTAAAAAAATAAACCATTTTTACAAAAAATAGACACTCAGTGAGTCTCTCGACGAGTAGCGAAGTCCGTTCTTATTCAGTTGGTAGAGAGCGAGTGAGTGAAAAAGTGATGTGTGTCGCAGGGCGAGTCGGCGCGGCGGCGTGGCGACCTGGTGCTGCGCACGTGCCACGTGCTGGAGCTGGCCACCAAGCTGTTCCTCGTCGTGCAGAACGCCGTGGGAGCGCCGCCACACGTCAACATCGCCACGCAGTCAGTGCCGCCTCCGTGCCTCACACACACCCCACACGCACACACCACGCATCCCATGTGACGTCACACGCACACCACGCATGCCACATGACGTCACACGCACACCACGCATGCCACATGACGTCACACGCACACCACGCATCCCACGTGACGTCACACGCACACCACACATCCCACGTGACGTCACCACACGCACATACACACACACACATGCGCACATACACACACACACACACACACACACGCCACGTGACTTCACACGCACACGTGACGTCCCTCGCATCACACGTGACGTCCCTCGCATCACACGTGACGTCACACGCACACGTGAAGTCCCTCGCATCACATGTGACGTTAACACCACGCGTCTCACGTGACGTCACCACACACACACACACCATGCATCACAAGTGACATCACACTCACACCATGCATCACACGTAACGTCATACGCGTTGCCGTCAGCTTACTATATTCAACTAATTTAAGAGTTGTCAAAGCAAACACATACATAACTTGTGTAATGACATCGTGTGTAAAGCATATTTTTGGTTATTTTTAAATACTAAAAATCTAATTTCACTTAAAATTCAAAAACGGAGCTAAAACTAAGTTTAAGCAAATCCAAATCACACATTATATTAATATGATGTAGTTATTTTTAGTGCCAACTAACCAATTCCAGGCAATCATTGCTCGTCGTGAAATCGTTGCTCTTCGTCACCGGTCTAAGGTATCCTTACGACTCACGTAAGTTAAATTAAAAAACTGCCATCCATCGGAGGTCGGAGGTCAAAAGGTTTTCATGGTTTAGTAATGGATCATATTTAATAGTCTGAGAATGTCTGTTGCGCACTAACTAACCCGTCCGACTCGAATGGCAAGTATGATTAGATGTTGCAAGAATTGCCATTTTCTAATACCAGTAGCAGTAGTATTAAAAAACAGCTGATTTTGGCGACGAATTATTTAAATATATATAACTCATGCGAACCCCTTGAAAAACAAGCAGTTCTAGTTTTCTTTTAAAGTCAAAATTTCTTTTTCCATTGAAATTTATATAAAGAATAATAAGATCGTAGATTAATATTGTAGAAAAAGTTGAATTTTGGTACATTTTTGCTATGAATCCGTGAGGTCATTGCATTGCTTGGATTTAAGCCTGTAATGGCCGGCAAACTGCGATCTAATGGTCGCAATTTTAATGTTCGTAAACTGATAATAATAATTCAAAGAGCGCTACCGACACTCGAATCCTCCCCGAAAGTAGTAACTACACAAATTTAATAATATTAATTAAAATTCTTGATGAATGAATTGTACACTAAATATATTACGACTGCTAAAATATTTCATTGTCCAGTTAGTTTGTTGGATATATTTATGTTTTATTGTATATCTTATATAATTTTTAAGAAGTTTTGGTGTATACACTTCGCAGGTTTGAGGCAAATTTTGGGCAGCAGATCGTAACGATCTCTTTCCACGCGCTGGGCGGGGGCGAGGCGGGCGGGGCGCGGCTGCTGCGGCGCGGCAGCCACATGGACGTGCTGCTGTGACCGCGCCGCACCGCACCGCACCGGACCGGACCTCACCGGACCGGACCGCACCGGACCGCACCGCACCGCACTGCATCGCACCGGACCGCATCGCACCGGACCGCACCGCACCGCACTGCATCGCACCGGACCGCACCGCACCGCATCGCACCGGACCGGACCGCACCGTACTGCATTGCACCGCACCGCACGCTACTGGATCGCACCGGACCGCACCGCACCGCACTGCATCGCACCGGACCGCACCGCATCGCATCGCACCGGACCGGACCGCACCGTACTGCATTGCACCGCACCGCACGCTACTGGATCGCACCGGACCGCACCGCACCACACTGCATCGCACCGGACCAGACCGCACCGTACTGCACCGTACCGCACTGCATCGCACTGCGTGCCACTATTCCGAATTATAACGGATACTGCACCGCGTCGCACCCCACCGCACCGCACCGTACCACATCGCACTGGATCGTACCGTATCTTTGTATTACTTCGCACAGTTCAACGGCAACTTGCTGTTTGTGCTTCGAGTTATGTATGTCTTACAAAATGATATGTGATCTAACTGAAACTTGTATATTAATAGTTAATTATTTAACTTAATCTTAAGTTAAGCACTCTTGTTTTTAATTACTGCCGAAAATCAATGTATATGTTTTGTACAAAGGGTTACACCGTCGCTTTAACATAACGCCCTCGTACCTCACGCTAGCGATAAAGTTTTAGCTTGCTTCTACAGAATAACGTTCAGACTGAATGTATGTCATTAGAGCTAGTTATTAATGTAAATTTTAGATAATATTCATTATTGAATAATGATCGGTTGTGGCGGTGAATCGATTCTTATGACGGTAGTCTAGTCGATCGGAATGTCGTTATACATACAAACTTATTCAGCGCTGTGAATAAGTCGATTGTGAACTTCATGATTATAAAAAAAAGCTGTTTTCTGAAGAACAAGAATTAATTAATTTGTTACTATGGAGTACATGCGTTGAAAAATCGTGATTTAGTAGTAAGACGTTGTTGTTCGGTTGTCGTAAGAGAGCACGTGGGCTCGGAAATGACCCCTAACTAGTTCTTATGATACTTGTAGTTAAGTGAGAGCCGCTCGGCACAGTGCGAAGCGCCTCGCCCGCCCCGAACGTGACCCGACCAAACTGCCTTGGCATGTTCTCGGCGAGGAACTCAATCTCACATCTAGTTCGAGGCACGCCACACAATTAAATTAAGTTAGGATTAAGACGCTCGAAAGCAACACAATCTGTAATTATAAATAATAATAATAATAAATTGAATGCAATTGAAAAATATACGGCCGAATGCATACGGCCAAAATATTCGTTCGTGTCTGTTCACTGCCCGTAACGGACGAACGGGAAGGAGTCCGCAGTTCCGGATTTGCTCGTGCCAATTTGAAATTCCACTCTCATGTGATCTCACGTGCCAAAATAACTTTTAACGCTTTACTGACGGTCTTCGCACCGTAAACACTATTTGTCATTGTTTTCTTAAATTAAGAAATGCCTAAATATGGCTGTGATGATGTGTGAGAGCAGGATAATTTTTGAAGGGAAAGTGAGTGAGGGAGGGGGCGTAGCAGGCATGTCTCTAGCTGTGCCAATGTCGGTCTCAGCATGCTATCGAAGGAGCACGAAAAGAACCGTACAGTGTGGAAAGTAGCGGCGAGCCGGCGCGCAGATTTGTCTACGAATGCGCTCCGGCGTGTCGAAATTTTGCAAATTGTACATGTTACGTTTCAGCGATAACTATTAATAAAATGTTTGATCGTTTTAAATAAAGTTTAAGAGAGTTTTTAGACTTTTGTTTTATTTACTAGATTTTTCCCTTCAGTATAAATAAGCAAGGTATAGAGCGCGCGTATCGGTCACTGCCCATTATGCCAAGCGTCAACAAGTGTTCTATAAATACTGATACATAAATGAAGCGTTTGTAATAGTAATGCGCGAAGATTGCCGTCTATGTGTTATTGTTAATTTAAATTAGGTAAGTATTTTTTAGTAAGTAACAAGATATAGGTTTGGGCAGATCAATAAAACACAGGTACGAATTTTTAAAGCGATATTTATAAATCAAACGGGAAAATCTAATTTATTTACCGCCCCTTAAAAAAATTTCACTTGTTGTTGTTTTGTTTGATAGATTACAGTTTTACGTAAAAGATATTTTATTCTAATATTTTTGAATGACATCCATTAGTTTTGAAAAAAAAATCGTGAACATACACACGTAAATACGTAAGTATCTACATAAATAACTGCCGAAGCGAGTTTTTTAATCGCTTCAAAATAAGTGTAATCTTACTTCAATTTTAAGTTTAGCTGTAAATTACACCTCCGCCTTGCGCAGTCCACCCTTACTATCATAATAATTTAAAATTAAAAATTTTGTACAGCCGACTTCAATATAAGTTATTTAAGAATAACTTAAAAACTATTGGTCTGACCTTGATCAAATTCATATGGGACCACACGAGAAGTACCAGCTTTCAAATAAAAAAAGAATCATCGAAATCGGTTCACCCAGAAAAAAGTTCTGAGGTAACACACATAAAAAAAAAAAAAAAACATACAGTCGAATTGAGTACCGGCTCCTTTTTGGAAGTCGGCAGAAAAATGGATGAAGCACTAAAACTCGTGGAATAAACGAAACTCCTGATGTTGGGCTCCCAGTTGAGACTTTATTGCTACCACCACCACTATTTGTCAATTCACTACTTTTCTGAAATTTAAAATCAGAAAAGTATATTAACCGTATTTACCTTTATTATGCACCTATAAAAAAAGTTATTCATAAGTTTTACTTTAAATATTGATCTATGTGTCAAAGAATCTTAATTTCTAATCATCATCGTTCGTCATTACAGCCCTTCACAAGTCCATTGCTGAACATAGGAATGCCAAAAAGCACGATCCTGAGCCACCTGCATCCATCGACTTCCTGCATGTCTTACCAAGTCGTCACTCCATCTAGTGGGGATCGCCCTACACTTCGCCTTCCAGTACGAGGCTGCCACTCGAGGACCTTGCTTTCCAATCGGTTCTTCGAACTATATGGCCGGCCCATTGACACTTCTGCTTACTAATCCATTGGGCTATGCCGATTACTCTGGTTCTACTGCGGATATCCTCATTTTTAAGTTTATCACGCAGAGAAACCCCGAGCATAACCCTCTCCATAGCTCGCTGAGCGACCTTGAGCGTCCTCATACGGCCAACAGTGAAGGACCACGTCTCAGTTCCATATGTCATCACTGGCAACATACACTGGTTGCACAATCCCGTTTTCAAGTTTTGAGGTATACCAAACGAGAAGATGTGTCGTAATTTCCCGAACGTTGCCCAGCCGAGTTGAATCCGTCGATTGACCTCTCGGTCGATGTTGGACTTACCTAGTTTGACTATTTGTCCCAGGTAAACATACTCATACACAACGTTACAACCATTGACGTTAATACCGTACTATTTCCAGTCCAGTAGCTTGAAAACGTGAGCCGTTTCGGGGATATAACGTCATCCTGTCGTAGCACTAGTACCGCCCTAATTTCGACGGAATCAAAGGCTTTCTCATAGTCGACATACGCCAGAAATAGTGGCAAATTGTATTCCTCGCACTTTTCTACAATTTGTCGAAAGGTATGTATGTGGTCTACGGTGCTAATGCCTTTTCGGAAACCGGCTTGATCGGGAGGCTGGAAGTCGTCGAGTCTGAAACGCGAAAGTCTAGACGCGGCTCAGAAAGGAAATCGGTCTATAGTTCTTCAAGAGAGCGTTGTCGCCTTTTTGACGAACATGACCACCGTACTTCTGCTCCACGCAGTAGTCCTACCATGGAGGACAAAATTAACGAGCTTCTGAAGGACTTCAAGTACTGGTTTTCCACCCGCTTTCATAAGCTCCGCCGCTAATTCCATCCTCATCTGGGGTGTTGCCTTTTTTAAGGTGCTGGGGAACCATTCGCTCAGACTGGCGTCCGAGATATCATCGGAATAGTGTAGGATTAGATCCGCTCTTGCATCGTTGCTCTCACTTGCGTGTGACTCCAACGATGACGTGTACGGTTGCCCATAGGACGCCTCAATCTCACTCAAAATCTCAGGTGTCACTCGGTCTTCAGTTTGGACAGTTGGTTTTTTCTGGCAGACAGATCTCTGGCAAAGACTTTGGACCTTGGTTCCACTCGATCGCTTCTTCAGTACAAGCTGTATTGAAGTTGCGTAAGTCCCGCCGCATGCATTTGGAGATCTGTCTGTTCAGTTGTCTGTATGCTGTCAAATTTGTTGAAGGCTGCAGCTTCATTTCCCGTGTAACAGCCATGAGATTAAGAGTGTGATAGGAGAGTTTTTGTGTTCTCCTGCGGCGGGTCTTGCAGAACTTAGCTCCGACTGCATGGACAGTTTTCACGAGCTTATCATTAATAATTTCTAATACCTACTATGATTATATTATTATTACGAAAGAAATCATATTATTACAAAATATGCGTGTACAACGTGGTGCAGCCCTAGCTCTAATGCGAGAACAGCATGAAGTGGGGCACACAGCTTCGCTCCTCCCGCAACACCTATTGACACCCTGATTTATTAAGTAAAATTGTTAAAATCAATATTATCTTATTAAAATATTACTTACCGATGAAAAGAAATATCATTATTATTCAAATTTGCTTCCGTGAACCGCTTTTACAGAATGTTAGTGCACATTTTACCATGGTAACTTAAAATTGAAGTAAATACCGGCCAGGGAAAAAATTAGCGCTCGTGCTCCTTTCGTGATTAATTGCAATTACGAGAATGTTCATACCCGTACTTACTGTTCATACTCACTAACGTGCGCTCTATAACTTGCTTATGTATATTCTTAGATTTCACCCCTTTTAAGCGTTCTCATAATGTATATTTTTATTATAATTTAAGTACTTCACGATTATAATACATCAACACAATCTTGTGATATTTATTCATGTATTAAAATCTA